CCTTGTTGAAAATGGAGTAGTTTGCAGAGGACACCATTGGTTTACATTTACACTACCTGTTTTTAACAGAATTGGTGCAATCAAGAACCTGGGTGAACGTTGTGAACACAACCAGTGTGGGGAAACTTCCAGCCCGATTCCTGGTCTTTCTGTGCACCAAGTACATCCCACAGAAGTAGATCCTTTTGAACGCTTTGAGTATGGAGGAGCCTTCCTGGATGATTCCCTAGAGAACAATCGAAGTAGAGCTCACACTAGAAGCAGTACCTGTCAGTGTACAGACTGTGGAGAAGACTGCAGGTGTCCTTCTCACCTGACCACACCTGTGAGCACTCATGGTGGGAAAAATACTCATAAATGTAAGATAAGTGGAGACAGGCTGCATGACTATACGGAGTGTGGGAAAGTCTCTGGTGAAGCGTCACTCCTCCCTGGACTTACAGGAACTCACAGTGCACAGAGGCCATTTGAATGTGAAGAGTGTGGGAAATCCTTTAGGGATTCCTCACAGCAGAGTCGACATTTGCAAACTCACAGTGGAGACAGGCTCTATGAATGTAATCAATGTGGGAAAGCTTTTAGCCTCGCCTCAAGGCTCACGAGACATAAAACAGTCCACAGTGCAAAGAGGCCTTATGAATGTAAGGAGTGTGGGAACACTTTTAGGTATGCCTCAGAACTGACTGCACATAAAAGAATCCACAGCGGAGAGAAGCCTTATGAATGTAAGCAATGTGGAAAAGCCTTTAGACTGTCCTTACAGTGCAGTAGACACATGCGGACTCACAGTGGAGAGAGGCCCTATGAATGTAAGGAATGTGGGAAAGCCTTTGTTAATGTCTCAGGCCTCATAGTACATAGAACAATTCACAGTGGAGAGAAGCCTTACAAATGTAAGCAATGCGGGAAAGCCTTCAGATTTTCCTCAGAGTGCAGGAGACACATGCAAACCCACAGTGGAGAGAGGCCCTATGAATGTAAGGAGTGTGGGAAAGGCTTTCTAACATCCTCAAGCCTCAGAACACATACAATAATCCACAGTGGAGAGAGGCCCTATAAATGTAAAGAATGTGGAAAAGCCTTTAGAAAAACCGCACATCTTACAGCACATAGACTAATCCACAGTGGAGAGAAGCCTTATGAATGTAAGGAGTGTGGGAAAGTCTTTAGAACAACTTCAGAACTTAAAACACATCGAGGAATTCACAGTGCGGAGAGGCCCTATGAATGTAATGATTGTGGAAAAGCCTTTAGAACAACTGCACATCTTAAATCACATAGAATAATCCACAGTGGAGAGAAGCCTTATGAATGTAAGACGTGTGGGAAGGCCTTTAAAAGCACCTCATACCTTAGAATACATAGAAAAATCCACAGTGCAGAGAAGCCTTATGAATGTAAGGAGTGTGGAAAAGCGTTTAAAACAACTTCCCACCTTACAACACATAGAGGAATCCACAGTGCGGAGAGGCCCTATGAATGTAAGGAGTGTGGGAAAGGCTTTCTAACACCCTCAAGCCTCAGAACACATACAATAATCCACAGTGGAGAGAGACCCTATGAATGTAAAGAATGTGGCAAAGCCTTTAGAACAACCTCACATCTTACAGCACATAGAATAGTCCACAGTGGAGAGAGGCCCTATGAATGTAAGGAGTGTGGGAAAGCCTTTAAAAGCCCCTCATACCTTAGAATACATAGAAGAATCCACAGTGCAGAGAAGTCCTATGAATGTAAGGAGTGTGGGAAAACGTTTAGAACAACTTCACAACTTAAAACACATAGAGGAATCCATAGTACGGAGAGACCCTATGAATGTTTGGAATGTGGGAAAGCCTTTAGAAGAACTGCACACCTTAGCAGACATGAAAGAATCCACAGTGGAGAGAGGCCCTATGAATGTACGGAGTGTGGGAAAGCCTTTAGAAGATCCTCACATCTTACAGCACATAGAAGAATCCACAGTGGAGAGAGGCCTTATGAGTGTAAAGAATGTGGAAAAACCTTTACTTGTGCCTCTTCCCTCAGTATACATATGCAAATTCATACTGGAGAGAGACCTTATGAATGTAAGCAGTGTGGGAAAGCCTTTACAAGAGCCTCAGCCTTTACTGTACATAGAAGAATCCACAGTGGTGAGACCCTATGAGTATAAGGAATCGGGAAAGGTTTACCCATTTCTCAAGTTTCAGATCACATAGAAATATCCACAGTGGAGAAAGACCCTATGAAAGTAAGGAATGTGATGGTGATGGTGGTTATGTGCTGTGGAGTTGGTTCCGACTTACAGGAATCCTGTACAGGGTTTCCAAGGCTGGAAATCTTTATGGGAGCAGAAAGCCTCATCATGTGGGGAAATGTTAAATCATCACTTAACCCTCCTTTCACATAAAGAGTGCACAGTGGAGGGAAACCATATGAATGTAAGGAGTGTGGGAAAGCTTTCACATTTGCCTCACAAGACAGTACACACAAGTGATTCCATAATGTAGAGAGGCCCTATGAATGTCAGGAGTGTGAGAAAGCATTTATTCAGACCTCACACTCACTGTACATAAAAGGATTCTTAGAGAAAAGACTTCTTTATGTCCAATTTTGAATGTTTCTTCCATACAGCTACTGTGAAGTGAGCAAAACTGAAAATACTGCGTTTAGTGTGAGCAAAGTTCTCACAGAAACGTGATAGTTTCATTGTAACTGCAGGGATATATCCTGAACAATGTTTGCTATATTATCATTCCATGATTAATTGTACCTCTCTTTAAATTTTTGGTTACTATAGTAAAGTCTCAGGAAATATCCTTGAGTAAATGTGGTGTTCTATTTTGTAATGATTTGATTGATGTTATATTGCTGGGAGCCGACCCCTTGATGCCCTTTGACACAATCCCAGCAAAGGGGAGACATCAGCACAGCAGATGGCTTTGAGGGGAGCACCCTTTATCTCTCTTCTTTGGGATGGCTCTGATTCCACTTGTGGGGATATGTTGTACTGCCACATTCACGGCTCCCACTGTGAGTTCTGCAGAGTTTAGGAAAAACCAGTCTTGCAACAGTTGTTTCAACTTTACTGGATTAGATTCAAAGAGAATTTTCGATAAATTAAGGCAACATGACCTATTCCCTCTCAACAGAAAACCTGAATACAAAGCAGCTGCATTTATGAGATCACAGAAACAGTTAAAATACTAAAGTGAAGCTGACTGACCCCTATAGGCCCCACCTAAGTCAATTACCGGCCAGAATCCACAAAATCCCTACTACCACATACAGGAACCTATGTAATTGGGCAGAGAATGGTGAACATAAATAAAAGGTGGGCAAAATTTAATAGTCTACTTTTCCTGCAGCAATTAACTAGGTTGGGCCCTTTAACATGCCTCATGGCCCCAAAAGAAAGAAACATAGAAACACTGATAGTATAGATGTTAGTAATGTTGTTACTATAGAAAATGTTGTTGTCAGGTGCCATCGAGT